GAAAGAGAGGAGAAGCAAGTTTGGAAGCCTCTAGAGTTCGGTGGCACTAGGCTCCTCTGAAGTGGAGCGAAGGTGAGTAAGATGAAAAGGCCTACATGAGATTCCATTTTTTTTTGAGAGAGAGATTTTGCTATAGGGCATGTGCACTCACCAGAGAGACAGAGAGACAGAAAGTGGGTAGCCCTGCTGCAATTCTTTCTTCTCCATTCTCCTCTTGGGATCTTGGACAGGCACATGTGCCCTGGTGTGAGTTTTAAGCCGCTGAGTCTGGGGCTTGAATCCCAGTTGACCATGTGGGAGTCCAGCAACATAACCATTATGCCATCTGGTCCCAGATGAAATTCTATTAAAAAAGTCATGCATCCTCAGACTCCAAGCAGCTGGAAGCAGCTGGTAACTACCCTCTACTCCACCACCATCATAGCAAAAGACATTACTTTCCCTCTCTGTCTCTTTCTGGTGAGAGCATGCGCCCTATAGCAAAAAAAAAAAAAAAAAAAAAAGTATATATACACACACACACACTTATATACATATATAAAGTCAAGGTTTCTTCTATTCAGCTTTTGGAACTCTAGCAGAAAGTTGAGAAAGCCTTCTCTGAGGGCTCTGACCAGCCCAGGAGACTAACTAGGGAAAGTCTGACATCAAGGTTTCCCAGTGTAAGAGCTCAGTCTTGTCACCCCGTGGTGTAGCCACAGTGAGCAATCCCTTACCAAGGCACTCAACATCTTCCAGTCAGTTTATGCCTCATTCTTCAGTATGAGCAGGGTGACAGTCAAACATCAGCCGACATGACAGGAAATCTTCTAACATTAGAGGCCGAGGCCTAAAGAAAGAGACACTATGCATAGAAAAGAAAACTGGGAACGAGGGAGCATCATTAGCCTTGGCGAGATTAAGGAAAGTTACTGAATCTCTGTAATTAGAACTAATGCTGGGGCCAGCAGATGGCACAGTGGTTACATCGCTGAACTCTCACATGGCCGATCATGGTTAGAGTCCTGGACCTGGAGATCTCAGGAGAATGGAGAAGGGATTGCGGTATAGCCATCCACCCTGGGTGGTGGGTGGTGATTTCTCACTTTCCCTCTCACTGTCTCTGTCTCTTTCTCTCTCCAGTGAGCACACACACTCTATGGCAAAAACCTCCCCCCATGGAGCCCACCCCCCAATGGGAAAAAAAAAAAAAAAAAAAAAAAAACTCTAAAAAAAAAAAAAAAGAGAGAGAGAGAAGAAAAAGAGAACTAATACTTAAAAAAAAACCCAAAAAACAAAAAACATATTCAGTGTTCCACGTGGCTTACTGAGCGGTGCAAGTCCCAGACCCAGCACATGTGCCCTCTGGCAAACATTTTAAAAAAGATATTCTGGAAGGGACCAGCAGTTAGTGTAATGGCTATGTAGCTGGACTCCCATGTAGTCGACCACAGTTCGTGTCCCAGACCCGGTGGCTTGAAACTCACGCCGGGAGTGTGTGTGTGCGTGCCCAAGATCCCGAAAAGAGAATGGAGGAGAAGGGATTGCAGCATGGCCATCCCCTCTGGGGGGTGATTTCTCTCCCTCTCTTTCTGCCGGGCGAGCGGGTGCCCTATAGCAAAAACCCCTCTAAAAAAAAAAAAAAAAAATTCTGGAAAATAAAAAAGTTATCATAGAAATGAAAAGCTTAACAGAAGTTATGAAAGTTAGAACAAAAAGAAAGTGGGAAGCAACAAGAGAAAGAAAAAAGTAGAAGATTAAACAAGAAGGGCCAACATTTATAAAATAAAAGTTCAGAAATATGGAATTTTAAGAATAAAGGTGAGATGGGGGACCAACAGATGGCGTAATGGTTATGTTGCTGGACTCCCACGTAGTTGGCTAGGATCCAAGTGTGGACTAAGCAGCTTAAAACTCATGCTGGGTGGCCAGCGAGGGGCCAGTAGGTGGCATGGTGGTTGGGTACACTGGACTCCCATATGGCCAATCCTGGTTTCAGTCCAGGACCTGCGGGCTTACTTTCTCACTTTCCCTCTCTCTTACTCTGTCTCTCTCTGGTCAAATTTAAATAAATAAATAAATAAATAAATAAATAAATAAATAATGTTAAATGAAAACATTATAAAAACAAATAAACAAAACTTATGCCGAGCATGTGTGCACGTGCGCCCAAAATCTCAAGAAAGAGAATGGAGCAGAATGGATTGTGGCATGGCCACCCTCCCCACCTGGGGGCAGGGATGATATTTTGCTTTCTGTCTCTCTGGTGAGTGCGTGTGCCCTATGGTAAAAACAAAATAAATAAATAAAATAAATAAAGAAGAGAAAATAATTCAAGAATATTCTATAATTAAAAGACATAGGCTTCCAAGAAAAGGGGGCCTGCCAAGTTACCAATGGAATTGATAATAAAGATCCAAAACCAAGACACAGCATTATTAAATTTGGGAGCACTGGAAACAGAGAGAAGACCCTGAAAGATTCTATAAATAATAGAATAGTTTTCATACTAATGATCCAAAAAAAGAATGATGCCAAAATTTCAATAACTATCCTGGAAACTAAAAGAAATGCTCTGAAATCTTTGTATGTCGGAGGCAATATTATTTCTTTCTACTCATTTGCATGGGAAGTTCTACTCCTAATTCAAATTATCATGCAAGTGTGACAATAGACTAAGACATTTTATTTATAAATTTATTTTAATTTTGCCAGAAGACACGTGTGCTCGTGGGGAAGGGGGAAGAAAACACCTTCCACGGGGAATGGTCATGCCAAAATCCCTTCGCCTTCATTTCTCCTCCTTCTGGGATTTGGGGTACATATGCACAGATGTGTCCAGTGAGCTTTCCAGGCTGCCAGGCTCAGGACTCAAACCACATGGTCAGTTAAGTGGGATCCAGCTGCCTTAATTATCATGCCACCAGCTGGCCCTCTGAGACATTTTAGACATGTAAGTTTCCTCAGGAAGCTAGTGGAGCATGTACTCCACCAGAATGAGGCAGTGAGTCACAGGAGGAAGATTCGGGAGCAATGAGCCAGGACAACAAACTGGAGAAAGAAGCAAACCAATACCTTGGCATGAGGGGAGTGAGAAG